ACAAATAAAAGTATCCCCCATATTTTCCCATATTTTCTGGGTTTTCGTCTTCCCCCCCACTTCCCATATTTTCCCATATTTTCCTGGGGATCGCCGATGAATTGTGTCTGTGTGTTTTTTCTCCTCCTGATTCACACTGCGCAGCCATCCAAGGATGGCGAGGGTCCGTTTGGGTCTACGTGGGACCTCGCTGTGCTGGCTCCCCCAGCAGCCCTCGAAAGTGGCGACAGCGTCGCATTCTGCAGCCCCCCAAGGATGGCGATCCCGTTGGGCTCTGCGTGGGGCCCCAGTGCGCTGCCCCCCCCCCCTCCCCCGCAGCCCTCGAAGGTGGCAGCGATTTCACATCTCGCAGCCCCCCAAAGATGGCGAGGTCCCGTTGGGGTCTGCGTGGGCCCCCTTGTGCTGGCCCCCCCCCGAGCAGCCGTTCGAAAAGGGCGATGGCTTCACACATCGATGGCGAGGTCCCGTTTGGGTCTGCGCGGGACCCCGCTGTGCTGCCGCCCCAGCAACCCTCGAAAGAAACTACAATCTTACACATCGCAGCCACCCGAGGATGGCGAAAACCCGTTTGGGTCTGCGTGGGACCCCGCTGTGCTGCCGCCCCCAGCCGCCCTCGAAGGTGGCGGCGGCTTCACACTGCGCAGCCCCCAGGGATGGCGAGGGTCCGTTGGGGTCTGCGTGGGACCCCGCTGCGCTGGCCCCCCCAGCAACCGTCGAAACTGGTGACAATTTCACACTTCGCAGCCCCCCAGGGATGGCGAGGTTTCGATTGGGTTCGCGTGGGACCCCACTGTGCTGGCCCCGCCCGGCAGCCTTCGAAAGTGGCGACAACTTCGCACTGCACAATCCATTACGGATGGCTGAGGTCCGTTTGGGTCTGCGCGGGGCCCCCGTTGTGCTGCCCCCTCAGCAGCCCTCGAAACTGGCGACAGCGTCACATGTCGCAGCCCCCCAGGGAAGGCGAGGTCCCGCTTGGGTCTGCGTGGGATCCCATTGCACCAGCCCCGCCCAGCAGCCTTCGAAACTGGCGACAGTTTCACACTGCGCAGCCCCCCAGGGATGGCGAGGTTCTGTTTTGGTTTGCGTGGGACCCCAGTGCGGTGGCTCCCCAGCAAAACTCGAAAGTGGGGACAGCGTCGCATTTCACCACCACCCAAGATGGCGAGGTCCCCTTTGGGCCTCAATGGGGCCCCACTGTGCCGGTCCCCTCAGCAGCCTTCGAAAGTGGCGACAATCTCACACTTCGCACACCCGCACAGATGGCGAGGTCCTGTTGGGGTCTGCGGGGTCTGCGTGAAACCCCACTGTGGTGGCCCCGCCGGGTGGCGGGGGTCCGTCTGGGTCACCGTGGGACCCCACTATGCTGCCTTCCCCACCAGCCTTCGAAAGTGGCGCCGCAGCCCCGCAATTTCACACTTCGCAGCCCCCCAGGAATAGCGCCGCGCATACTCGTCGTAACAAATGCGTGAGCTTCACGGGTTGAAGGCGGGCCGTTTTCAAACTGTGGTTCTTGCCTTAGCGCCGCGCAAATTCGTTTCAAATGGTTGCGAGACCTTCACGGACCAAAATGAGGCCCTTTCCTTAGCCCCGTGCGCACCCGTCTTAAAATTTGCAAGAGCTTTACGAATTGACGGCGGTTGGTTTTCAACATGTGTCTCTCGCCTTCGCGCCGCGCGCAGTGGTTTTTAATTGCCCTGCGACGTATCCAACCCATCGGCACCAAGGGATGATAGACAGTGTGCCGGCAATAGTGTGACAACAACGCTGCAAGATACGGTGCACGGCGGATATCTATGTCGTGCGAAGTGTGCGTGGCCGACTCGCGGAACAGAGGTACAGCAGGCCAGGAGGCATTGTACTGGGAAGGGGAAGCAAAAGGAACACATCGGGGCGGAAAAACAATCACCTCGGCATAAGCAGCGAGATGGTGGCGAAGTTTTTTTTGGGGGGATCTGCGTCGGACCCCGCTGCGCTGCCCCCCCCCCCCAACAGCCCTTGAACATGGGGATGGTCTTACACTTCGCAGTCCCTCAGGAAAACATCGGGGAGCAAAAGGAAAACGTCGGGGCGGAAAGTCATCACCTCGGCATAAGCAGCGAGATGGTGGCGAAGTCTTTTTGGGGGGATCTGCCTCGGGCCCCACTGCGCTGGCCCCCCAGCAGGCAGGGCGAGAGGGGGACGCCCAGCAGGCAGGCGCAGGCAGGCACAGGCAGGCGAGAAGGGGACGGGGGGCGGGAAGAGAACGCCGAAGGAACTTGCGACCCGACTGTCTTCTGTTCGAAGCGAAAGCCCAACCAAGGGAATATTGGGAACAATTGCAAGGGCTTCACGGATTGAGGGCGGGCCTTTCTCAAACTGTGGCTCTCGCCCTGGCACCGCGCACACTCGCCGTAAACATTTGCGGGAGCCTCGCGGATTGAAGGCGGTTGGTTTTCAAACTGTGATTTTCGCGTGAGCACCGCGCGCGCTCGTTCTAAACAACTGCAAGAACTTCACGGATTGAGGGCGGTTGGTTGTCAAACTACGGTTCTCGCTTTAGCGCCACGCGCATGCGTTTTTGTTTGCGCCGCAGATTCCCATGTTCAACGGAGCAGAAATTGCGCTTGGAAAGGCTCATGGTTGTGAGGGCACAACAGTTACATTGATTCGCGATGATGAAATCCCAAGAATGGTGTTCTGGCACGATGCAGAATTGTCAAAACGCATCAACCAGGCTGATCGTGGGGGTTAGAATCCTGATACTGGTGTTTTGACACGCTTCAGGGTCTTCAAACGGTTGTTTCCTGACTGGGCAGTTCCCTCAAAGGGAATGAACCTTTGTAGGAGCCTATAAAGAGGGAGCTCGGAGGCTGTATTGCAACA